GGAAATGGGAAGAGCTCGTCTGAAATGAGCCTACAGATGAGATCTTCATTAACAGAGAACACCTACAACTCTAGAAAGAGTTTATTAATGTTTTCCTCACCTTGGTGCCAAGCAGGATTATCTGTACAATTGGCAGATATTATTTCCTGCCCTCTCCCAGCTGGACTTTTATTGTACTGGAGTGACTTGCTGCAGAAATGTCAGCCAAGCGCCCGGCTGCCCGCCACAGCGAGCGTCCCAGGAACGCGCCTCAGCACCCCGCGAAAGAAGGGCGCAGCTGCACCGTCCCGTCAGACGTGCGCTCCCTCGCGCAAGCCCTCCTCTTTTTTAACGCTGCTCAGAATTCATTTCTAAAGCCCAGAAACCATCCGTGCTTTTGCTACTCTTACATATCACCTGCACTGCAGCCCATAGCCCTGCATCTCCCCGGCAGTCCCCAAACAAGGTGCTGAGGCGAGGCAGCGTTTGCCTCCTCGCCTGCTCCTTTGGTTGCTGTAAATCTCAGTGTGACGCCCAGCCCGTCGTAACCGTGACCATTTCTCTCCCAGTGCCGTATCCCTGCGGGAAGATCACGGCTCCTGAAGCGAAGAGCAAGCTCACCCGAGCCATAAACACCTTTGAGCACTGGAACGTCACCACCGATGACCACGACGATGCTCATGACGAGGTGCTCGACAACACCACGGAAACCAGCACCGCCGCCACCACGAAAATCACACCGATAATTAAGACGGGCACCCGGGTGGTCGGTGGCTCGGACAGCATGAGAGGCGAGGTGCCGTGGCAGGTACTGGCTATTTCTGCAGCTCTCCTGTAACCCCAGCAGTCGCTCTGCCTGTCCATTTCCTTCTGGATGCAGGATCAGCTTATTTCTACATACCCAAAGCCCACCTCTGAGGTTAGTTTAGCAATAGATCTCAAGTCTAACAGGAAGACAGCTTCTTTCTGTACACGGTTTTACGCCACAGCAACAACACTTGCCTGGCTGGGGGTCTAAAAAAAAAAAAGCTGGAAGTCAGAGTAACAGCAGCTTTATCTGCAGGGCACGAAGGATCCCATTTTGAGCTGTAGCAACAGGTCCCCCAGCAGCCCACGAATTTACCAAGACTAAGCTGAAGGCTGAGGGAGGGGAGCTTTGCAAGGCACAACTTCACAGGGAACAACGCAGCTCCTTTATTGGCTCCATTAGTTTCAACAGATCCACGATAATTTATACCAACGAAGGATCTATCCTGGTATGACATCTACCAAATCCAGCCGCCCTTTCTTTATCCAACCCCACACGCTACTTGAGACATCATAGTCCTCTCTACCTCACCAAAAGTGACATCACAGGCGAGGGGGCGGCTGCAAAGAAACCTCCAACCCACCGCTCTGTGAATACTTTTAAATTGTTGTCAAAAGGAAAGTTAGCTCCTAGCTTGGAGCTTTTTCAAAGCCGTCTACTGCCCTTAAATTCTACCCTGGCTTCAGTGAGTGCAGAAATCTCGGCTGCGAGGGCAGAATAATAAGTTCAAGTGGGGTTCTAGGAATGGCAAATCTCTTTCTGTTGCAAGCTCAGGCACAGACCGACA